GAATATGGGGTTCAGGTGGGTGTACATTTCTGTTGGAAAGAAGGGCATGTCTAGTGGAGTATTTTGTGGGTGAATTGGGTTGAACTGTGGTGGCATATTCCATTGATTCATCATTGCATGAACCATTTGAGGGTTTAAGGAAGGCATTAGTGATTGGATAATGTTGTTTAACCATATTTGATTTAGATAGTTGTTCATGGAAAGTCTCATTCCCTCTGTTGCTAGCTGAGCTAGGTACCGAGTGTTGTGGAGTATCACAATCGCTTCTTGCCCATTGATTTGGACATTGAAGGATATTGCATGACCCGTTAGACCTAGTTCCATCCACGAGGCAAGTTGGTAATCCTGTGCCTGTGGATGTTGAGCATACACAATTTGTGGGTTCTCGAGTGGAGAAAAGAGTGGTAGGTTCTCCATGGTTTGTGTTCTGTGTTATCGTAGGAATTGGATGAGTCTGTTCCTTTTTCTTAGGGTTGAAGGTAGTCTTGGCATTTTTAATGGGGGATTGAGGGTTTAAAGAAGTGGTAGTAGGCGTGGGATTAGGGCTATTGGCAAAAGGCAATTGATTGGGGGGGGGGGGTAGGGTAATGGTAGGTGATGATTGCATGGCCTTTGGTTGCCGTCTTATACGAGTATCCTCCATGGATATGGTATCCATTTCTTCCTCAAGGGCGCATGACATTTGTCCATTTTCATTAGTCTGAGTTGCCATTTGGCTTGCATGCCCAGGAGTGGGTATGTTTCCATATCTAAAGGAAAGATTTTGTTCATTTTCTTTGTCTAAAGGAGGATTATTACCATATTTGTGGGTTAGTTTCTTAATAGGGTTATCATTAGTAGGAGGGTTATTTTCATCCATTTGGGTATCATTTTGCATGGCCTTTTTATCTTTATTTTCGTTAATAATGTTTGTTGCCACATTATTATCCAGCATGGCTAAGTCCTTATTTTAAGGAGACAAGTGTTCACAAGCAGTTGTATTAACATTTTTTAATTTATTGTTAATTAAAGGATCAATGGTATCTTCTAAAATCATTTGCTCTCTTTTCAGGAGGGAAAAGTGGTTTTCCATAGACAAGGTATTTTGGTCTGTGTTTGTCGTGGTCGGGTTCTTACTATGTTGTTGATAATTTGAGGATTCCTTAGTTTTATATTGTAATAATTGGGTATTTAAGAATTTACCTGTATTAGCATTGAAGAGATTTACAGAGATACCTGGCCTTTGGAATAGTTGGTTGAATTTGTGAGAATTGGATGAGGATTTCTTGGACTTTGTTTTCTTCCTTTGCTAAATGAGACAGTTTTCTATTCTTCCTCTGAGTTTTCTATTACTGTGATGACTTGGTCCTTGGATGAATTTGTATTTTCTGGGGATTTTAGGACATAGCTACAATTTCCCATCGTGTGTCCAAATCTTCCACATCTTTTGCATAAAATGTTTTCTCCTTCATAGTAAATGTATTGTTTATGAAGGCCAATATAGAGAAAAGGTTGGATTGGGATTTCTAATGGAATTTCCACACAAATTCTTGCATAACGTCCCCTTTCAGTTGTTAATGTACAAACATCAATTTTTAATAAACGTCCAATTGCATTTCTGATTTTTTCTAGAATTTTTGTATCGTAAAATTCTGTTGGTAGATGGTGCAGCCTAATCCATGCTGCTGAGGTGGTTAGTTTCTTCTTTATAGCCACAAAATTTGGTTTCCATTTTGAAATAGATAGGAAATGGCCATTGATGAACCATAGACCTTGATTAATTGCTTTCTCCATATTTTCCTTCTTTTTGAATTTGATAATGTAGTAGTCTTTTCCAAGATCTATTAGGGAAAAATCCTCCGTTGGATGCCAAAGTTCCTGAATCTTTTTTTTTTAAATATTGGTGTAACATACGTTTTCCTACTAATTTAACGATGATAGAATATTTCCATGGCTCATAAATACGCTGCTTGTCTTCTTCAGTTAGAGGAATCTGTTTGATGCCTCGTGCGCTATAGTTTGATGAGTGCTTGGACGTTTCCCCTTCTGTGGAAATCTTTGTCAGGTCCATGTCGGATTGTCCTAGGTTTGGGGCAAAACTCATTGGGTCAGAAGCAAGTAACATGTTCTTGAAGGAAGATTTGGTCATTAATTCGTTTGGAATAGTTTTATCATGCTCAATGTCCGGGGATTTTGGTGGTATTGAGTATCGGGATTCATAGGGTTGTGGATCCTAAGTAGTAAAGAGGCTTTTGAGGTAAGACACTTTAGTTGTGCGTGCTCAAGTGAAAAAGGAGTAAGCAATTAAGAGTGTTATTGATGTTTCATTTGCTTAAAACATTTCTTATTTCCTGCTATGCTCATTGACTTTCCTGCAAAGAAGTGTGCTCACTATTAGTAACCATAATTTTATGCAAACGAAAATTCTTAATTTTTCAGAAGCCATTTAAGTGTTGGATAATCTGGTGTATGCAATTTGTTTTTCAAATTCTTCAGTGTGTTTATTCTTAGGAGTGACAGAAAAGCTATTAATATATCAGTGATGCATCCTTTCTCTTTTTCTTTGCTATCATTTGTTAATTGTTCACAACAGAATTTATATAAAACCTGATACAGAGGTGTAGTTTTCTCCCATGCGTGAGTAGTTACAGGAATTTGCATAAAACCTGCATCTAGTAGTGGATATTATAATTGGAAAGTTTTAGATTTAAAAGGAAAATACATAGCTCCTTAAAAGAAAAAGGAAAATCCAAAGATGGTATTGCACAAACCATTATTTCTTTTTATTAACTTTTAGCTTAGTCTGTCAAAGCCGCAATTAGGGGATGCAACGGGGTTCATTCGTATACTACATATACAAGGTCAAAATTATTTTCTTACTGTTGAATCCCCTTGGCTTCATCAAATTTTTACTTTTTATATTTTAAATTCCCTTTGTGAAAATTCTGGCTCCACCGTTGTCCCAGTTGTTGAATGCAGAATCACCAGATTTACATGAGAAGCTGCTTTTCCATTGTTTCTTTGAAGAAATGCTTGACGTCGTTTCTGTACTGCGTTTGGTACATAGATCTCTATAGTGTTAAATATTTGTTTCTTATTGCAAACAGGAGACAATTATCTAAAACCATATGTCACATCCGAGCCTGAGATAACCTTCACAAAAAGGGAAGCAGAGGATGAGTGCCTGATCCTTGCCAGCGACGGCTTGTGGGATGTTTTATCAAGTGAAATGGCGTGTGCGGTGGCCAGAGAGTGTCTTCGAGAAGAAGACCATAGTTTCAGTCCCTGGGTAGAAGGTGTTGGCGAAGGAGCAATGTTTTCTTCACGAAGTGCATCAGCAGCAGCGCTACTGACTCGGCTTGCTCTGGGACGGAATAGCTGTGATAACATTAGCGTGATAGTGGTTGATTTAAAAAGATCAAATCATACTGGTCTATAGTTTATAGAGTAAGGTAATTACTTCTTGACATGAATATGAATGGTCTCGGATATATAGCTAGTGTAACCAACATATGAGACTTTTTTTTTATGTATGTCTTTTACAGCCATTAGAAGTTGATCTTCTGGATGATGATGTGATAGTCGGTCAATGTATAGTTCAGGTTATAATTGTTGTGGAAGCCAAATGTATATAGTGTGAATAAGTCACAACTACTATACTAAAATTATGACAGCCACCAAATAATAAATAAGACAATAAAGCAACAATAAAGGGAACACCAGA